ACAGATCTGGAAAAGCTTATATACCCCCCAACTTTGAATCATAGCCCTTAAATCGATCTAATGGCCTAGAATGCATCCTTAATGATTAAGAATATTCCTTAAGGGCTAAGAATATGTGACATGACATTATGGATGGCCACGATCAATTCTAAATGATTGGCCATGGTTAATTTGCTTACCCCCTAAGTAATTTGCTTAATCCTTAAGGAATTGCATTTTAGTAATTTCACTTAGGGGCATTTTTGTAATTTTCATTTAAGGGCATTTTTTTGTCATTTTGGACTCAAAGGGATGTGGCCGACCTTGGCTGGTCCGAATGGACTGCCGGCCACCGGATTTTCGATCGAAAAATGGCCGATCCAATCGGACCGGTTCAATTTGGGTAAAACCAGGTTGAACAGGTTGGACCGGTTTAACCCGAGTTTGACTGGGTTGAACCGGTTCAATTCTCAGCCCAATTTGTTCTAATTTTGTGTAATTTAATCCCTATCATGATTGATTGACCTAATTAATAGTGAATTCGATTAAATTGAATTGAACCAATTTGAAATTCACGCACAAATTGATCCAATTTAACTTGTTTAGCCCAATTGTTCTTTGATTTGAGCTAAATTGCATGGCCAAACTAAACTAACGAATTTAATTGAAGTCCAATTAGCCAAATTGAGCCTCAATTCATCAAATTCGATGTTAGTCTAGAATGGGTCAAGTTGAATTGCACTAATTGGACTAATTACTCTTAGATTTCTCAATCATTGGATCACTAAATTGATCATATTGGCTCAAATTCATGTGAATCTTCCAAAATTGATTTCGAATTTGGATTTCATATAAGAAATTAGCTTCATTTGTGTCTTAATTGTGCAAATCATGAAGAATTGATCAAAATCATTGATTTGGGCCTAAATTGGGGTTTTTGCGCTTGGCTTGGAATTACAAAATTGGTTCCAAAATTGAATGTAATACAACCTCTAGATCAAATGTCGTGAAGGAAACTAACCTAAAAAATGACCAAAAATGAAGTAATTTCATTTTTGGTCGATTTGAACCAATTTCCGCAAATTGAGGAAAAATTGATTCTAAACTGATTTTTGCAAAATTTCAAATGCTAAAGTCAAATTGAATGTAAAATAAGATGATTTTGAAATTTTTGTATTTTCTAATTTTTTTTGGTCAAAGGTTTGACTAAAAGTCAAACCCTAGTTGACTTTTCACTAGGAGTTTAATTTTGTGATCAAATCTTTGAATTTTTATGAAAGTGGAAATTTAAACTCAAAAGAAATCGTTTTGTATGAAAAGCCCAAATTTGACTGGGGTTGACTTTTGGTCAAAGGGTTGACCAAAAGTCAACCCAAAAGTCAACAACATGATTTTTCGGGTTTTCGCGTGAAATGAATAGAAACTTGTTTATAGAAGCTAAATCCACAAATATAATTGAAAAATGACACTTTTTGTTCGAGAAATGGACTCCGTAACAATCGGATACCCAAATCCTGAGTTTTATTTTTTTTTAATGACACCTCGGCTGAAAATTATGTGTCAATAGTTGCCCCTCTTTGAGTGGGAGTTCGAAGAGGTTCCGCTCAAAGATCAATTGGCACCTGCAAATTTTTAGTCGACTCAACTTGCGAAATGAAAGAAAATAAAGACAAACATTTGATCAGAATCTTACATGAAGCACTTACCATTGACCATTTGGATTATCAGCTCATTCATATGTTTCTCTCTTCTCTCTCTCATATGGTGGAATGAAGGAAGAAAAGAAAAAGAAAGGGTTTTATAGGAAATCTATGGTTTAAGGATAACCAAAAACCTAAAACAAGGTTTAAGGATGACCAGGAACCTAAGACAAGGTTTAAGGATGATCAGGAACCTAAGACAAGGTTTAAGGATGACCTAGAACCAAAGACAAGGTTTAAGGATGACCTAGAACCAAAGACAAGGTTTAAGGATGACCTAGAACCTAAGACAAGATTTAAAAACCAAATGGACGGTGTGAAAACCGAAAGCGATGCATGGTTTAGGATAACCAAAAACCAAAAATGAGAAATATGGTTTAGGCTAACCAAAAACCAATCCACTAGGGACAGATATTTTGCAAAAGGAGTTCCGAGATTGTTTAACAACAAATCAAACTGAATTATTCATATTTTGGTAAAAGACACTGATTATCAAACTCCTTACGAGGAAATTTTAACAAAATGATCTTTAAATAACAATCTAAAGGTTAGATAAAAAATGCCAAATTGGAAATAACCTAATTAAAAAGGTCTTTCGTACTCGCTCTCATAAATGCTTTGATTCCCATCCATTGATGTGGGAAAGCTATTCAATTCTCACTAGTGATGCCTCACGAACCTATGTCAAAGGTTTTCGGAAACGTTTACAGTGAATACAAATTGATTGATCAAAAAAGTCTTTCAAAAGGACCGTAATGTAGGCTTGGTCATGGGCTTACACAAAGGGTATTCACTTTGAGGCCAATAAAAGAAATATACCATCAACATCTTCAGCGGGTTTACAAGTCAAGAACCTTGAAGATAAGATAAGATATGATTTTCTTCCACTCCTTCTAGCGGTAGCTCACACATGAGATTCTCACTTCGACTCAAACCATCCCAATTGGAAGAGACTTTCGGATATGGGTTGCAATATCTATTTGGGTGAGGCTTAAAAGGCTTAAATTTTTCATACAAGGAAGGGTTTGAGGGGTTGGTGATTATCTTTGCATCATTATCATCACACAACTTCATAATGGTGTGACTCTTGAAATTTGACTTATCTCAAGAGTCCTTTGATTGATACACATGTGAGCTTCGCTCTTTTTCCTAAAGAAGATCGTACTTGCAATTGATGTTTTTGTAGTTGCAATGAATATTGTTGAACTTGCAATGCTTTTCTTGCTTTTGATGTAATTTTTGCATGGGCTTAGACTTTGCTTTTACTAGGCACACTGCTTTTGTAAGCCCTTTTTTATTTATTATTATTATTATTTTTTTAATCAATTCTTTTGATTTTCTTTTGAATATCTAAGACTCTCAAGATGCCTCTATCTTTTTACCAGCATTTTGCTTTGATGGTAAATCACATGTATTGCCCCAACGTGGGGAGATAATCACCACTCGGATTTCAAAAAGAATTGCATTAGGCTCAAATTGGCTAAGCAAGGGATAATTGTGTTTGCGTAGAGAAATAAATGCTCTTCTTCACTTTGGGATGCTTCGAGCTTCCGGCGGAATTCACCTGGAGCTAGCACAAGAAGATTAATGCAAGTGAAAGCAATGAAATCTTTCTTAATCTTTTCGCTCAAAAAATGATCAACCAAAACCTCTTATTTTACCCCATTGTGGGGTGCTTCTTGACAAGGGTATTTTGAAAACTCTCCTTATTTGACTCAAAGTGGCTAACAAAGGATAAAATGAGTATTTATGATAGAGAAATGAAACATCTTTTATCACTTCAATCCATGTATTCAATGTGAACGAACCCTACGTCCTAGGACACGGTTTTTTCGCTCAATTTTCTCAAAATGTGTATAGGGACGTGCTTAATCAAAGGTTTGCCTTTTATCATCTTAGGCATTTCCATTCGGCATTTTTGAGAAATCCCTTTTTTTTTTTGTTTTTTCAAAGGATCATTTGGTTAAATCTCCTGTCTATGGGGAATTTTGATAAACCAAAACACTTGGAAATGATTTTAAGAATAATGATTCGCTGGTTCCTCTGGGAATTATTTTTTCTGATAGGATCTCAAACTTGAAAAGCCTTTTGGACAGAAAGGGTCCTCACAAATAGGATCTACTTCCTAAGTTCTAGGGAGAAGATTAATTTTATGTAACTGCTTTCTCGAGGTTGACTCCTTAGGGTTTGGAATAGCCTCCCTGGGGAATAGCTGAGTACTTGCAAAATGAACAAATATACAAAAATGCTATGAGATGCATGATGCAAATGTCTTAAAGTGGCTCAGATTCAATCCAAAAGCAGCTCAAAGGCTTTTTATTCAAGGAAAATATTTCTTGACAGCATCAGCATTTACAGATTTTGGCAACTCTCGGCCATCCATTTCTACAAGAATCAATGCTCCGCCAGGTAACACCTTCTTGATGACATACGGTCCTTCATAATTGGGGGTGAACTTCCCACGATTCGGAATGATGGGTAGGACTTTCCTCAAAATCAGGTCATTGATCCCAAAATGCCTGGGTTGAACCTTGCGGTTGAATGACTTAGCCACTAGCTTTTGATAGTTTTGTCCATGGCACAGGGCTTTTACTCTTTTTTCATCAATCATGTTTTTTTTTTTCGAATATCAATCATGTTGAGTTGTTCAAATCTTTATTGAATCCATTCTGCTTCAGAAAGCTTTACTTGTGAAAGTACCCTTAATGAAGGAATTTCCACTTCCACAAGTAAGACTGCTTCCATTCTATACACTAATGAGAACGGTGTTTTCCCAGTTGAAGTGCGAATAGAAGTTCGGTAAGCCATTAACGCGTACGGCAACCAATCATGCCAATCACGGTAATTCTTTGCCGTCTTGGACAGAATCTTCTTCATGTTCTTATTTGCCGCCTCCACAGCTCCATTCATTTGTGGGCAGTAAGGAGAAGAATTCAAGTGGCAAATGTGAAACTTATTGAGTAGCTCATCCACTACTTTGTTATTCAGGTTTGACCCGTTGTCAGTGATAATTGCTTCCAGAACCCCATATCGAGCGATAATGTCACGACGAATGAACTTTACCACACTTTTCGCAGTGACGTGGGCATAAGAATTGGCTTTGATCTATTTTGTGCAGTAATCGATAGCCACTAGAATAATACGGTGTCCATTTGACGCCTTAGGATTATTTGGTCCGATAATGTCAATACCACATATTGAGAAAGGCCATGCCTCAGACATTTGATCTAATTTATTGGGAGGAGCATTGATTTTGTTTCCATAAACTTGACATTGATGGCAACATCTAACATGTTGAATACAATCGGCTTCCATGGTTAATCAGTAGTAACTTAGCCTCATGATCTTTCTTGCTAGAAGATGGTCATTCATATGAGGACCACATTCTCCTTCATGTTTGTCCTTCATTAGTAAATTGGCTTCTTTGGTGTCTACGCACTTCAGCAGGACCGAATCAAAAGATCTTTTGTATAAAGCACCTCCGCTGAGGAAGAATTTGGAAGCTAACTTAGTCAAGTATTCAGTAGCTCGACTTTCGTGGGGAAATTTTCCTTCTCGAAGGTAATTCATAATGTCACAGTACCATGGTTGACCATCGAGTTCTTTTTCTATAACCATGCAATACGCAAGCTCCTTTAAAACATCGATTTGTAAAGGATCAATATTCAAACCATCAGTTACTTGTAACATTGAGGATAATGTCGCCAAGGCATCAGCAAACTGATTTAGAGATCTTGGCAAGTAATCAAATAAGATCTCTTCGAATTCTTCCACCAAATCCTTAAGATACTCATGGTAAGGAATCAGTTTTGAATCACGAGTTTGCCATTCACCTCCTGTTTGGAGAATGATAAGCGCAGAATCACCATAAACTTGTAATCTCTTAACCTTCATATCGATGGCTAATTGGAGACCAAGGATGCAAGCTTCACATTCTGAAATGTTATTGGTACAAGGAAATATTAACTTTGCAGCTACCGGATAATGCTGATCAGCTAGGGATATCAGGACTGCTCCAGTGCCAAAACGAGAGAGGTTAACAGCTCCATCAAAATACATGGTCCACTTGTCATGTGACACCAAATGGATTCTTTCATCAATTTCATCCTAGTCATCTGACTTTAAGGGATTCTCAGCTAACATGCCAGCTATGGCTCACCCTTTGACGGACTTCTGAGACATACTCTGGATATCAATTCAGAGAGCAATATTTGCCATTTGGCAAGCCTTCCAACCAATGCAGGCTTTTCCAAAAGATACTTGATATGATCATTTTCATTCACCAACAAGATACAATGGTGAAGAGTGTATTGTCGTAATCTGTGTAATATCCAAATTAAGGCTACATATGTTTTCTCAACTTCAAGGTATCGAGCTTCACCAGAGGTGAACTTCTTGCTGAGGTAGTAGAGGTGTGCAACTTGGACCACCCGAACCGGGAACCGCCCGAACCGGGAACCGCCCGGACCGGACAGGTGGGTTCGGTCCGGTTCCCGAGAGTGTCGGTCCGGTTCCTGGTTCCAAAAAGTGGAACTGGTGTCCGGGCGGTCCGATTCCCGGTTCCAAGATGAAAACTGGACCGCCCGGACCGAACCGACCAAATATATATAATATATATATATATATAATCAATCAAAGTCGGATTTTCTGCCTCGGGACTTGTTCTCTAGCTTGGACTTGCCAATGTGAATTATGTGAGCGCATGCTCAACAAAACCATGGCCCAAAGGCCCCAAACCACCAAGACCTGTCCCAGCAGAATGAAGATCTCGCTAGCAGCTTCCCCTACCTTCATTGCTTTCTATCTTCTGCTGAAGAGAGACATTTCTTAGAAAACCCTAAAAGAAATTACTTTTCCCCTTCCCTCACGCTCGCGGCTTGCCCGTCTGCCGTTTCTCTTCCCTCACGCTCGCATTTCCCTTCCTTCGCTCTTGCCTTGCCCCTCTATCCCGGTTTTTGCCTCACGCAGTTACGCCTCTCGCCCGTCTGGCCTCTCGCCCTGCTGGCCTCTCGCCTCTACCGTCTGGCCTCTCGCCTCTGCCGTCTGGCCTCTCGGCCTTGTGGCCTCTTGCCTCACTCTTCGCTCTTCACTTTTTCTGCGACTCGATTCTCAGAAGTTTCTCTCGGCTCTCACATCAACTCAGTCTTTACTCTTGAGTAAGTTTTTCTCGTCTTTGCATTGCTGAGATTTCATGCGCTTTCCTTGTTAATCTCCTCCGCTACTTCTATTACAATGATTTCAGAGCAAATGATTGTGATGGTGATATGATTCTGGAAATTCATATTTGCGGATGAGTTGGATGGTGTTGACAAGAGGGGAAATAGAGGATTAGATCCTTTGGGTGGGTGAAGAAGGAAATTGTTCAACGGTAACGATGTTAGTATGAATTTGGGGTATCCACCAAGTTTTATATCCTTGAATTGTGTATCAGCTTTCAGAAATTGAATTGCTACTGATTTTGGTCGTTTGCATCAATTTTTCAGGACACTCGCGTTTATTCAATTAACAAAATATTCTCAAGCAATGACTATTTTGTGTAACATATGAATTCCAAGCGGAGATAGAGAAAAAAAAAAGGGGGAATTTTGATGCGTCACTGACTATAGATCTAGAAACACAGCTTGTGGTCTTTGATAAACATAGGGTCTAGCTTGTGTGCTCCTACTTGTAGACATTAGGAATTGTATATACGTTGCGGTTTGATGGCTCCAATCTCTGTTTTGCTTGATTCGGGTGATCTATATAAATGTCAATGGAAGTGGACAAATCCAATGATGCTATGAATCCGGTAATGGACTCGCTAGAAAATGAAGGTGAAGAAGACCTCGAAAAGGCATCCGACACAAACAAGGTATTTAATGCTTGTGCTTCTGGTAAACGAAAATCATCAGCTTGGCTTCATTTTCGTAAAGGAAAAACTAAGGATGGGAAAAGTGATGTGTTTTGCCTTTATTGTGGGGCCAAGTATACTTACAGTGTTGATAATGGTACCTCTGCTATGTTGAAGCACTTGAGAAGATGCAACAAGTATCCTCGAAATATAGATAAAAGGCAAAAATTGTTTGCCGCACGTAGAGTAGATGGGACTCAAATGACAATAGGGCATACCGGTACTGATTCTGGTAGTGGTAATGTCTTATCGACATGGACATTTGATTAGGATCGTTGTAGGCAAATGCTTGTTCGGATGATCATAATGGATGAACAACCTTTTTCGATAGTTGAGCGTGTTGGATTCCGTGATTTTATTAGTCAGTTACAACCTCTCTTCAATCACATGTTACGATTTACAGTGGCTAGAGATTGCTTGAAGTTGTATCTTTGTGAAAACGCAAGTTTGAAGACTTACTTTAGCAAGCTTAAGTCTAGGGTCGCACTCACGACCGATACATGGAGTTCCATTCAAAACTTGAACTATTTATGTCTCACTGCACATTTTATTGATGATGATTGGAAATTGCACAAAAGAATCATCAATTTTGTGGTGATGCCTAGTCACAAGGGCAAGGATATTGGGAAAATGGTTGAGAAATGCATATTCGAGTGGGGAATAGAGAAAAAAGTATCCACAATCACTGTGGATAATGCTAGTTCAAATGATGTTGCCATTAGTTTTTTGAAAGAAAAATTATCAAGAGATAAGTTATTGATCTTAGATGGTGATGTTTTACACATGAGGTGCACCGCTCATATATTAAATTTGATTGTGAGGGATGGATTGACCGAGGTTCGTGATTCTATTGCACGTATTCGAGACGTGATTAGGTATGTGAGGGGTTCTCCGATGAGAGCTAAAACATTCCAAGGTTGCATTGAGAGTGCAAGGATCACTTGTAAGGGTTTAGTTTGTCTTGATGTCACAACTAGGTGGAACTCCACTTACCTCATGTTAGACACCGCCTTAAAGTTCAGAAAAGCTTTTGAAAGGATGGAAGAAGATGATCCTGCTTTCTTAACTGAGCTAGACTATGAAACTCCTAAACATGAAGATTGGGAAAATGCCAAAATTCTTTCCATATTTTTGAAGAAGTTTTATGATGCCACCAACAAGATGTCCGGGACTAGGTATATCACTTCGAATGATTATTTTAATGAGATAGCTATTTTATATAAAACTTCGAAACAAGCGGAGAAGGCTTCGGATCCTAGGATGAAAGCTATGGGCGCGAAGATGAAGGAAAAGTTTGAAAAATATTATGGGAGTTTCAAAAAGTAAATATGATGGTGTTGATTGCGGTAATATTGGATCCAAGAAAAAAAGATGAATTATGTGAGGTATTGTTATAGACTAATCTATGGTGATAGTGCGAAAGTTGAGGAGATGTCTGATAAGGTGAGGATTGCCTTGGAACGTTTGTTTCATTTTTATGAGAAATCTTATCTTGGTTCTTGTGATAAAAATTTGGGTGGTCAACTTTTGTTTGATACCGGTAGTAGTTGGAATCTTGATAGCCATGAGGAGGATAACTAGAACGACCTTGATTTGGTTGTGGATTTCGATTCAGACAAGGCATATGAATTCTTTCTTCATGAGGAGAAAAAAGTGTCCGCGGGCAACTTGTCTGAGCTCGATAAGTATCTTAAAGCCGAACGTGAAGAAGGTCGTGATCTTGACCTTTTGATGTGGTGGAAAACTGCTGGCCAAAAGTTTAAAATCCTCTCTTTGATGGCTCGAGATATTTTGGCTATTCCTGTAACAACCGTTGCTTCGAAGTCGACTTTCAATACATCTGGTCGTGTGCTTGATGGCTTTCGAAGTTCTTTGACTCCTAGAGTGGTGGAAGCTTTGATTTGTACTCAAGATTGGTTAAGATTGGTCACCACGCCGATTAATGTTGAAGAGTGCATCGAAAATGCGGAAAAGTTTGAGTGGGGTAAGTCATTGATATATCTTTTTATCTTGTAATTTTTTTGTATATCTAATAAGTGAATGCTTTATTTAATGTTTTGTTTTTGTTAGATATTGATGATGTTAACTCGGAGCTTACCGGTAAAATAGAGTTTACAAGTTGAAGTAGAAGAAATACATGTGGTGAGAATTTCCATTAATAATTTGAGTTCGATTTGTAGTAATCCTGGTTTAAAACTAATGTCTGAATATTTTGTTTGGAAACAGAAATAGCAGTAGTGGCTGGGTGTTTCAAATGCTACATGGTTGCGTGCTAGTAGAGGCCATGAGAGAAGCTCTCAGTTTGCACTAGAAAGCTATCTTAGGTTGCAGAACTAGTTATATTTTCATGGGTCCAAATCTTATCTAGAGTTTGCTTGTGTTTGCATATTGTTTTCTTGAACCAGTTGAGCCTCGACAGTAAAATTTAAATTTGAAGCTGCTATTCTCGATCGGATGATCACCTTTGTCTGTCATCCATGTGATACTATAACAAACAAATCCTACAATATGCGTGTATTTTTGCTACCTTCGCTATCCATATATGAGGTGTTGCAATGTTGTGTGCCTAAAAGATAATGTTTGTGCTCTGTTTTGAAGAGTTACTGTCCTTCGAGGTTCAGATGTTCCTGGTTCGGGAATCTCACCATGTTTGGTTGGGGAATTTCTATATTGACCGGTTCCATTGGACCGGACAGGACCTGATCGGACCAACGGTCCGGTCCGATTCCCGGTTCCAAGATCGGCCAGGCCGGTTCCCGGTCCGGTTCCCAATTCCATCAAGAACCGGACCGGACCGGGAACCGATCACCCCTATGAGATAGTAAATAGCACGTTTCATTCCATCCTCCAGTCCCTTCTGCGCTAACATAGCTCCCAGAGACTCATCGTGAATGGTGAGATACAAGATCAAAGGTATACCTGAAGTAAGCGGTACCAAAACTGGTGGTTGTAAAAGATACTGCTTCAATTGTTCAAAGAATTTCTGACAATCTTTGTTCCATTCAACTTTGGCATTCTTTTTCAATAGCTTGAAGAATAGCTTAGCTGTTTCAGATAACTGGGAAATAAATCTTGTAACATAGTTCAGTCTTCCTAACAAGCTTCTGACCTCCTTGACAGTAGAAGGGCGTTTCAAATCGCAAATGGCCTTCACCTTCGAGGGATCAAT